AAAAAAAAAAAAAAAAAAATGAAAAACAAAGTTCGTTCTATGTAGGTGAACTGAGGCAGAGAAAGGGAGCTCTTTGTTTTATTATTTTAAAAATAGAGACAGAGTCTTGCCATGTTGCCCAGGTTGGCCTTGAACTCCTGGGCTTAAGTTATTCTCCCTCCTCAGCCTTCCCAAGTGCTGGGATGACAGACCTAGGCCACTGCACGTGGTCAAGAGAGGGAACTCAATTTCTTCCCAAGTTTGGCATTGCCTTCTTCAATATGTGTCATCTGGGGTCAATGTGGATTGGAGGGAGAGGCCAGCCTAGTCAACCTAGTGAAACCCTGTCTCTACTAAAAATACAAAAATTAATCAGGTATGGTGCATACTTGTAATCCTAGCTACTCAAGAGGCTGAGGCAGGAGAATCGTTTGAACCCAGGGTGGTATTATCCAGTCTGGGATGTCGAGCGCTATATGGAGTTGGGTGAGGCCAGATCTTAGGTGATAAAGGAAGGGGAAGGTGCCATGAGAGACGGACCTGGACAGAGAAGTAGGGGCCAAAGCATGACCCACCTGGATGCCATTCTAAGGAGTGCAGACTTTACCATGCAGCTGAGGGACAGGAGAGGGAGGATGGGTCAAGTAAGGAGCACAGCCTGGGCACCTCTGTTTGTGCTCAGCTGACTGGACATGAGGGTAAGTGCCTTGGGAGTGGCACTGGGGGAGAGGGACTGATCTGAGGGCGATGAGGGCTGCAGAGCTGATGGCACTGGGCTGTTGCTGTGCGCGGAGGGGAAGAGAGAAGGCATGATCTGAGGACTCAAAGGTGACTGAGTGTGTGGGGAAGGTGAAGGGAAATTCCATTTAGACATGGAGCTTCAGGGTTTCTGGGCTCCCACTGGGCCACATCCAGTTGTTGTTGGATGTGTCACTCTGGAGGCTGGCATGGAGGTCTCGCATGGAGATCAAGCTGCTGTGAGAGGAGGCACTGGCTGAGGGCTTGGTAGATGTCAAGGGAGTGCACGTGCTGGCTGTGGTCAGGAGCAAGGACATCAGCTCTTGGGGACACAGGAGACCTGGCCAAGACAGGACACTGAGAGGCAGCAGGGGCGCCAGGAGAGTGAAAGGCAGGCGCCAGGGGAAGAGCCACCATAAAGAGCCAGGTCAGCAGCGGTCCCAGCCCCGGATGCCCACAGAGGTTGATGGTAAACCTGGAACTGGTCCTTTGCGTCTGGCGAATGGTGGTTGGAGAGGGTAGTGGTGGCAGTGTCAATGCGGTAGGTGCAGAGCTGGCCGTGACATGGAAGGGCAGTCCTGTGTGGAAGTGACCACAGCGCGCTGGCCCCAGTGGAAGGAGAGAGCTGGGGGTTGGGCCTGGAGAAGCCAGACCCCAGAGAGACGGGGAAGGGACCAATGGGCTATTGTGAGGCAGGTGAGCGGCAAGGGAGAGAGTAGCAGAGAAGCAGTGCAGCCCAAAGCCCACCAGGACACCTGCTATCTGCACCCTCCAGGAGTTCACACAGATCTGGGATTGCTGCGGCAGGGTGTAGCCCATGGATGTTGCCTCCTGAGTTTCTGGGCGAGTCCTGCGGGGCAAGCTGGTAGGGAAGGTGGGGTGGATCTCATGACTTGCCAGCTCCTTGGCATTTCAGATGTCACTGTGCCCGTGCCCAGACTAGCCCTCATCCTTTCTGTCCATTTCTCTGTAGATTGACCTGCGTTACGAAGCTCAGAATCTAGAACACTTCCAGGTCAACTTCCGGAATGTGAAAGCTGTCAAGTTCCCCACCCCTCTGCGCCCCTTTGTCACCAGGGAAGTCTTGGTAGAAACATACGAAGTAAGAGTGGTGGCTTTGCCTGGCCATGCCTTTCACTTGCCATCGCAGTGGGCCCATCTCCAGCCCACAGAATGGCTTCAGTCTGGAGAGAATGGGATTTGTGTCTGTAAAGCTATGAGGAGCTGGGACTTCGGGGAGAGGTACTGTTGTGGTGAGGTGGCTGAGAGCACAGGGTGTGGCCCGACCCCCTAGATTTGAAAATCTGCTCTGCCATTTTATTAGCTGGTGACCTAGAAAACAGGCAGTAGTTCCTGCCTTAGAGGATTGTCTCGGGAGGAAATGACACATTGAATGCAAAAGGAGGAGTTGGGCACAGAGAAAGCACTCAACAACCTTGTGTTGTCTCTTGCCCTAGCTATCCTCTACTCTAGTTCAGCATTTGGCCTTCGTTTTTTTTTTTTTTGAGACCGAGTCTCGCTCTGTTGCCCAGACTGGAGTGTAGTGGCACCATCTCAGTTCACTGCAACCTCCACCTCCCCAGTTCAAGCGATTCTCATGTCTCAGCCTACTAAGTAGCTGGGATTACAGGTGCGTCTCACCACACCAGGTGGCTAATTTTTGTATTTTTAGTAGA